AGAGGCACATCCCAGGTGGGGATGGGGAAGAAAAGGAGGCACTTGGGAAGAGAGGAGGGGCCCATGGGCTCCAACCTGTAGTGAGGGGGTCCCAGTAGAGGTATCCAATGCTTTCCTTACCGCTGCGCAGCCCGCCGTGGCTGGAGAGCTGCAGTGCCCTCTCGGGGCAGTTCCAGCGGTCCCAGGCGAACTGAAACTTGCACTCCTCGATGCCGCTCTGCGCCCCGGCCGCCACGCTGCTGGAGTAGATGAGATAGGCCTAGGAGCAGAGCAGTGGGTCAGGAGGGGGGCTAGGAGCAGAGCAGTGGGTCAGGAGGGGGGATGGTGTGTGCCCTGCTTCAACTCTCCCAGCATTAACTTGCAAAACTGAGCTAGGATGTATTAGCCAGCGTGCAGGGACAGGCCCGTGGGTGACAGCCTGGGAGCGTCCCCAGGGCTACTCCCAGTGTCCAGGAGAGTCACTCAGCAGTAATAGTGTCCGTCACAGGCAGTGCCAAGCTGGTGTAAGCCCAGGCCACGTGCCACGCAGCGGTGGGGCTGCTGCAGTCATAGCTTTCCTGCCCTGAGCTGCGTGTTGTGGACCCCACTGCTTTGTGGTCTAGATGGATGGAGAAGCTCAGTGCAAAACCACCAGGAAGAACATGGCCTCAGGTTCCCCAGGAGGCTGGTGTTCAACTGAAAATAACTTGCATGCCATCTCACAGAGACAAGTTGTACGGAGCTGTGGAGGTCTCTCAGGCTTGGCTCCCCTGGGGAGTGGAGCTGACCACCAACAGCAGCAAATGCATTTTCTGCTGTGCTGGGTCAGAGCCTGAGCCTCCCAGGGGAAAAGGCCGAGCTGCTGGCTCTTAGCCATGTTAGGAGATGTGCCAGTCAACATCTTATCTCTCCAGCATGAGAGGAGGCAGAGCCTTCTCCTCAGAGACCAGGGAGCTCCAGGCCAGCAGATGCCTCAGCCTGCCTCCTCCTTCACCACAGCCCCAGGGGAAAGCCAGTGCTTTGGAGCAAGGTCACTCCACCATGTCATTGAGGGCTGTAGCAAGAGCTAGACGGGCTCAGAGGTGTTCCTGGGGAATAGCCAGGAACAAAAATCAGGTGAATTTTACAACTGGTCCCGGCTAGGAAATAAAAGTCTCTGAAAGAGGGGTTCAGGGAGGAGGGGGGTCAAAAATACTGAACAAGGTCCTGGCAACTCCAGTTGTGCTTGTCAAGGAGGTATGTTTTCCAGGGCCTACGGAAAGTACGTTTCCAGCTTGATGAATGTGTTTCCTGATGCTAACCTGATCATCAGGAAGCAACAGATGACAGCTGAAAGCCTTAGCTGGTGCCAACAGACAAATCTCCAAATATTGGCCCCCAACCAGCTTTAAAAGACCCCAGAACAGCTTTGCTTAGGGCTGATGTACCCCAACGAGCTGCAGTTCATAGCAGGTTGTTCCTGGCCCTCCTCTGCCTTGTTGTATGAGACCTGGGGGTGAGGGGAGCTATGGCCAAGGCTGGATGGAGAGTGGGAAGGAGGAGCCCCTCCCTCCCCTCCCCGGGTTTAGTGGAATCAGGGACAGAGATCAAAGGGATTTCTCTTACCTTGGGGCCCGTCATCAGGAAATTATTCACTGACCTGGAAGACAGAGACAGTGTCAGCAGGGAGGGGGTGACGGCGGAGGGGCCTGGGGAATGCCAGGCATCCCAGGGCTCTCCTCTCACCCCCCGCAGCCTGCCTGTCTCCTGGCTGCAGGCACCTTCGGGCTCTTCCCCTGCCTCTCCTTGCTGCTCCCTTTGAGCCAGGATGGTGCCTTCTCCTTCCCCCCACCCCACTCCCCCAGCCAGGCTGTACCAGGATGCCACCCAGTTGTCGCTCCCTCCTTTTGCTTTCCCCTGCACAGCTGCCCTTCACACCAATCCCTCATTTTTGTGATGCTTTCCTGTTCCCCCACCTTTGCTTTTTGCCTTACCCAGCTGCCGCTCGGCTTAGCATAGGGTAGCGTTGCCCCCAGCTCCAGGAGCTGACTGGTGTGCCAGCATCGCCCTCCCAACAGGACCGTGCCGAGGGAAGGAGGTCACACCGCTGCTCCTTCACGGTATGTGTCCTGACTGCATCAATCCAGATCACAGTCCCTTGTTTTCCTGTTGTGCCAGCTCTGGCTGCCCACGCTCCCCTCTTGGCCACATTAAGGTGATGGCTGACCACAAACATGCTCGTCCTCCCTATCCTGATGGGCACTGCATGGGGAGGAGTTGGGGCATGTGTGCAAGTGGCCCTAGCAAAAATTAAACTTTCTGGTGTTTTCCAAGTGAAATATGACAAAGTGAGATGAACTGTTCCCAAAGGTGCCTGTTTGTAAGTACTCCCGTGAAACACTGAGTTCTGCTGCTGTTCGTGGAGAACTGTTCTATTGAAAATGCCAGGGTCTGTTTTAGTAATCTGAAATTGCAAGCTCCTTGCACCTTCTGCTCTGGGAGTCTCATGGTCTCCCGCTTTGTTCCATAGGTCAATAATTCCCGCTTCTTATATGAAAGGGGAAAAACTTAAAATGTGGGTCCTCTTCCTAAGGCTATTGCAAGGCAAATGAAAGGACCTCGAGTGTCTGTTTATTTTTGAATGCAAGATTTTCATGGCCAGTTTCACACTCTTCTGGCCCCTGTTTTCTCCTTGCCTGTAGCTTTCCGTGGCATTAACCCATTCCTCCCACCTCCAGGTGGAAAAAGCAAAATAGCAAACTCTGGGATTGAGCTGGGGGGTGGCTGCTGAAGCAGAATCAAGGATTTTTACGAGGTTTCTAAAGGATCTCTAAAGAAGCCCTCAGCCTAATTGCTGCCTGGCCCAAGCCCTGCTCTGGTTGGACAGCAGACAGGGTTCTTGCAGGTGTTCATGGCTCCTAGGTTGTAACATCTTTCTGCCCCTGCAGAAAAGAAGGAGAGGAGGTAACTGCATGACATGCTTCATTCTGACCCCTTTCATTTTGTAAAGAGGAAAATGTCTGTTCCTAAGTGAAGCTGTGAAGGAGGAATCTCCAAGGGCTACAAGGCAGTGTGGTTGGTCTCCATTGCTCTCCCCAGGAGCTTGCAGAGCAGAGCCGATGCTGGCCAGTCTGACTCTCACCAGCAAGAAGGGCTGTTCAGTGTAAGTGGTCAGTTAGCGTTAGGACTCCACATGGTGCAGTGACCACCAGTAGGAATCTGGAGGATGGCTGGGTGAATCCAGCTTAGCTGTGCCACGGCAGAAAGGACTGAGGCTTTAAAAAGACCCAAGAGCCAACCCCAACTATCCCTAGCCAGAAATGCAGCAGGAGGAAGGAGGTTTCTCTTACAAACACCTCATTCCAGTCTCTCCAGGTTTGCAAAAATAACCCTCATCACTACTTCTGGTGAGTCTCCAGGGCATCTTCCCTGTTGGCACCCAGCAATCCAGAGCGATGGGTGAGTGCTGTTATGCCAAGGGAAGGACACTGAGGCCAGAGATGTGACACGAGTGGGTTGAGACCATGCAGTGAGTGAGTGATTGAGAAAAAGCTAAAGCATGCACTGAGAGAAATGGGGCTCTTCAGCTTCTTCTTGAGATAATGTCCTGCTTCAAATGCTGGATGTCTCCCAGTGGAGGATGCCTCTCTTTTTTAGCTGAGTCTCACAGAGCCTTAACCCACCCTCTGTCCCTTCATGCTCCACTCTGCAGTTGGGCTATCAGGCGTGCAGTGATGCTTTCTGCTTTTCTAGCTCTTCTCCATTCCCTCAAAATCCCAGTAGCTGGGTGGACCTTCTCTGGATGTGGGGGAGAAAGATGCAGGTTATGGTATGATTTTTCCTCCCTGTGTGTTTTCAAGTGATCTTGTCTGGAGCCACAGATGTCCCTGTTTAGGGACAGAAAGGCACTGTCCTGTTGTGCTACAAATCCAGCACAGGGAGTGCGGGGGCATCCCAGGGTGGGCTCAAGCACAGGCAGTGCAGGCATTGCCATCCCAAGCCAGGGGACAAAGTGTAGCTGTGCTGCAGCCCTGCCACAAACACTGGAGCAGACGGGGTACAGCTTGGTCAAAACCTAAAACCCCTGGTCTCTGCTGCTACTCACAGTTTAGGAAGAGCTGAGAGAACTAGTTTGCAAAGTTTCACTCTGGCAAGTCTAACTTTTTTTTTTTTTTTTGGTGAAAATGCATCCATATTGATGAATCTTGTGTTGGGAAAGATTCCGCTGGGTCAGAATGGGAGGGAGAGGGCTGTACCAGGGCACTGCGAGAGCAGGAGATCCTTTCCCTTTGTTCCAGGCCTGGGATTCAGACCCGCCTGCGCTCCAGCCCCCGTGAGTACTTTAGCACGAAGTCGACGGCTGTTTTGCAGAGGAATTTTCCTTTGGGAGCTGCTTCTGCATTGTACAGCTAATTAAATATTTCCTGGGACTTGCAGAGACGGCATCTGCAGCCGGGTGATTAGAGCATCGGGTGACCTGAATCACACAGGGCCATGAACCTGGGGCTATTCAGACTGTATAAGCTCCATGGGTCCCCATCCTAACGCAACTGGGTAGCAGCATGAACAAGTCATTTTTCCATCTGGTTTCCCTCCTGTCCTTTGCCTCGACCTTAAAAGCGCTTTGCTATGGGGACCACACTCAGGATGGCGTCAGTGTGAATCTGAGCCCCTGGCAGCAGCTGTGAGAAAACTCTGGTAAAATGCCCCCGTGTAGGCAAGATCTAGAGAATTGCAAGTCCTCTCTTATCTTGCTTTTTTTCTCATCATTGCTTCCCACCTGGGTAGGAAAAGCCAAATTCACAGCGTGTAAGAAGGATTTTCTTCAAGCCCTTGCTGAGCAGTTGCAAGGGTGGCTTTAGGAGGAGGACGGTAATCCACAAGTTCAGGGTTTGCAGCAAACCAGCCCGTTAGCAGGTGTCAATTGACATAACTGCATTGAAGCAGAGGATCTGTTCCTCCTGGGATAAACCTCAAGGTTCACGAAAAGGCCAAGTTCAGGATATGCCAATTCACCATCTGCAGCTGAGCAAATGGTACAGTAGCAATTTCCCAGCGGGATATTCTAAACATTTTTATTAAGTCGGAGAGACAGAAGGCATTTTCCCTGAGCTCTCTGATCAACAGGCAGGCACGCTGCTGGGCGGGTTTGTAGGGCTTAGACAAGTAAAGGATTCATTTAGACTGGTACATATTTAACTCTCGCAGCTGCAGGTGGATTTAGGAGAAGGGGAGATGGGACAGTTTGAATAACGGGGTGCTGTGTGCTGCAGAATGGGCTGTCGTATGGCTGGAGGGTAGCTGGAATTTGTCTTATTTATGCTTAGAGGGAAGGAAAGATAATAATGGAGACAAACTCCGCACACTTTGTCTTTGCCCATAGGATCTAGCTAAGAAAAAAATGCATCTCTCTTCTGGATATAGGCTCCAGCAAGGACAGAGTTCAGCCACTTGTTCCATGGATGTAGTGACAATGCCACGACAGTCATCTCTGTGCTGCAAATAGGAAGCACTATGAAAATGGATCTCTCCTCATTTTTGTCTCTGTAGTGTGATTTTTATGCATTTATTTATTTTTACTAATTTTCCATACCTCTGTAAAGGAAAGCAGAATGCAATCCTAAACTAACTAGCTAGCTGGTGCAAACCACCCCAATTCCCATGACTTGAGTGTCACCACACTGATTTAAAACCTCTGGAAATCACACAACATGAAAGGAAACACTTGGAATTATTTCTCTTCTGTGACAAAGCTTACAGGGTTTCTAGCTTTCTAAACCCCTTTCCCTCCACCTTCAAACTCCAAGTACAGCGTTACACGGACTGAAGCGGAGCGGAGACAGACCTCAGCAAGGTTGAGAGCGGAGCCCCACGGAGTCCTTCAGCCCCCTGCCCAGCCCGCGCAGGGCCCTGGGCAGGGCATGCTGCTCCCTCACTGCAACTCTACGCATCCAGGTAAAAAGCAAGCCCAAGGGCATGTGATTTTCATTGCATCCGATATTAGGAAATTATCTCAAAGCTAATGAATATCTATAGCAGGAGTTCCCTACCATAGTTTTATCGAATCCAAAAATAAATAACCCCGCCAAGCAGCTGTCCCATTATATTTAATGCATATCAAATACTAATAAGCCTCTGATAATTTCTGCTCAGTTACAACTTTAACAAATAACAGGACCCCGCTCCTCAGTTTATTATGTCCCGAGAGCCTTATCAAACCTCCCGTTAAAGTGTTTGTTTGGTACCTTATCACACACTCATGCTACTGTGCTGCTGGTTCAGCTCTTTACAAAATTATAAAGCTATATTTAGATCTTTACTGTCATTATTGTAAATACAGAAAATGGATACAATTTCACTTTGGATCTGAGTTTCATTTTCAAGTACAAACTCCTCCGAGTTTTTAGAAAATCAGAGTCACTGGAAACCAAAGGCAATCTCACAGCTGAAGTGTAAAAAACATTTAGAAACAAGCTGCTGCATTGGAGATTGTTACATTATTCCCACAGGATAAGAGACGGGGAGGCAACTCATTAATGTTTGGAGATTTACTTTTTTTTTTCTTAATTTCTCTTTATTTTTCTACATTTATTTTAATATTTTTTTTTAGTTCCTAAATTTAACCCTGACATTTTGCTCATCTAGAAACACACTGACCATTCAACCTAGCTGACACGGCAGAATCTAATCCACTCTCAGAGTAGTCACATATATATATATATAAAAATTATTGTCTATCTATATTGCCCCCCAATCCTAATTCCCATGGTTAAATCATAATAAAAAAGAATCTTTTTGCATTTTAAGCTGTTGGATCAGATAAAGAAGACCAGCAAAAAATGCAAGCAGAATTATTGCATGGTTCCCACAGACCTTGCTTTTTCCTCCTCAAGAGAAACGATAGTTTTGAATGAAGTTTGCAATTTTCCTTTCTCTCAGGTAATCATGACCTATGAGCAACACACGGACATCTTGATCTATAAACTTTTCCCTTAGATAAACACTTCTGAAAGGCAGACAGGGAATTTAGACATCCATGCCTGGGATTTCTGTATTTAACTCTACTTTGTGCTCTGAAATTTCTCCCCTTTGAACTTTCTTTAAAATGTTGATTTTTTTTTTTTAATCTTTTAATGTATTCTAAACCTGTTTATATTGAAGAAAGCAAGAGACTTACACAGGAAGAGTGGAAAAATAAAAATAAAATCAACATGAGTTCTTGCCTGGCCTCTCTGCATAACATACATATTCCTCTTGTTCCAGAAGGGAGATTCATCTTGAGTTTGCTACTGTATAATATTTAGACATATACAAATTGTTGCACCTTCTTTTAATGAAGGGAGTAGAAAATCTCTGAAAGAACATAAATTTCACTCCCAGCTTAACAGGCCTGAGTTCCCAATTACCCTTGAGTTTATCTTTCTGTAATTTTGGTTTCTCTGTCCATAGTAATAACTCTAGGGATCTGCTGTGGGGGAGGCAGCGGATTTTAGTAATTGAACAGGAAAAGACTTTCCTTGCTGTTAGAGATAAGTTTGTGACCCACTGAGCAGATTCCCCAGGGTATTACAGGAATGGAGAATAAAGTTTGGGTACTCAGTAAAAATCACATAGGAAGAAATACCTACAGAGCCGGGTCATTTGAGTCCATCTCCATTTGAGCTTGGGATGGATACACTCCACAAGGAATGATATGAGATTTAATGCAAGCGTAATCTCCTTCAGCTCACTCTTATAAAACTTTTCTGGAAATAAATGTAAAACCACCCTTAGGACAGAGCAAGAGGCCCACAGGAGATGGCAGCAGGTTTTTCACGGGGGGACTGGTCTAATGGGACCCAGGTGGTTGAGCGCCAAGCCGTAGCAATCTCCGTACCAAAAGCGTCTCCCCAGGAAATCCTAATACATGAATTTCAAACATGTGTAATCCTGACCCTGTGCCTGCCAAGGAGTCCGGGTCTCAGGCTGCTCATCCGGAGCAACGCTCCTGTGTATCTAACTCACCCCTGCTGGCTCTGAGCTCTTAATCAGGGACTGTCCTCTTTGGGGAGCGCGGGAGAAGCCCCACTTGATTTGATTAAGACAAGAGACAAGCAGACTGCGAGCCTTTGGAAAAACAGAAATCCCTGGCTCTGCCATTGGGTTATCTTCCCAGTTGGAAATGAGGGGTTAGATCTTGCACTCTCCTCTATTCTATTTTATCCCAGCTCAGGATTTGGCCCATCAAGTTACTGCTGGGGGGCGAGGGGGAACAAGGGGACTTTCTCCGCTCACATCTAACGTTTCTGCCAGTGAGTGTGTTGGGACCTAGTTAAATATCTGGTCCCATTAAAGACCAGAATGGAGCTAAGTGGAAAAGGGGGGACATTTAGAAAGGTGAAGAGGAATTTCCTTAGGGTGTCTGGGAAGAGCACCTGCCTGTGACACAGACTGAGGTGCTCTCGATACTCACCAAGCACAGCAGGATTGGAAGAAGGGAGTGAGGAAGAAGATGCCCAGATAAGGGTCCATGTGAAATATAAAATCCAAATAAAGAGGGAGAAAGGATATCCTAAAAAAAACCTTGGGTACCACCACCAGCAAAAAGGAAAAAAAAAAAAAAAAGAAACACAACAAAATTAGGGAAGGGATGGAGTTATTTTCCACCCGGCGCTCCTGGTGTGATGAAGAGGCGTATGCCCCCTGAATCCCAACTTCTGCGAAGGGTAACCAATCCTAAAGTAAGAGCTAAAGGGGGTTGGTGAAATGGAGCCGCAGAACTTCCTAAGAAGAGATTATCTACTTAATTAAAGATTTTTTTTTCCCTAAGTCCTTCAGCCAATCAGGACTCAAGTGCCAGAGAGAGATTGAACTGATGAAAAGAACACCCCAGGTTCCTCGAAGACAAATGCACCACGAAAGGGATAAGAGGGAGGGAAAAGAAGGGGAAAACAAAAAAAAAAAAAAAAGAAAGAAAAAGAGAGAGAGAGGGATAAAGAAAGAGACAGCAAATCCCTTAAAGTAATCACTAGATTCAATCTCCACCAGCACTGCCCTGCCTCTCCATCCCCTGCAAGGGCAACTGGAAGGGCTGATTTTGGCGTGCCCTCACCTCCATCTGCCTTGGAGACATTGCTGGGGCCAGAGTGCGCTGGGTACTCCAGGACTGGCGGCTTGGGTTTGGGCTGCCCGCACCCGCTGCTTGGAGACCATGCAATGTGCTTCAGGGAGAAGGCTGGGAAACATATGTGAACATCGTCTCTGCCTCAGACTCCCCCAGGAGTTTAATGGGAATCGGGGCCAGTTCCTACCTCCATCTGCTCCTCCTTCATCACAGTGACCTGCTCTTTCTTCCCACCTCCTCTTTGCCACATGCCACCCTCACCCCAGGAGAAAGGCCTCTGACTAAACCTTCCCCTAATGTTTTGCTTTTGGAGTTTCCTACGAAGTCCACAGGAGGGGGTCTTTGGTTTGGGAGTGGTCTCTCAGTGAGGGCTTATCCCAGGCCAAGAGCTGCTGGAGCTACTTAGAAGTGCATCCAGCCTGTGCCTCCTGGCCATGCGGGACATCCCAGTTACTGTCACGCTGCCCACCAGCGCCACTCTTGACTGGCCCTAGGTCAACAGGACCAGCCATGCTGCCCTGTCCCAGAGCCGTAGGAGCATCTTCTCTGCACTGCATAGCTCATTTTCATACTGTGGATGTGATCAGCTAAAACATTGGCTGAGACCAGTCAAACTCATTTCATCCAGGGTGCAGCTGCTGGGCAGAAGGGCTGGACCAGGGCAAGATTCAAAGGGGAGCGAGACCCCGCAGCTGGGCCATCAGGCCGGGCTGGCTGGAGGCTGAGCTTTGCTCAGGGCCACCTCAGGCCGATGAAACATCCCTTCTGGCTCACGCAGCCTCGAGGAGGGAAACCTGCCCAGCAGAGATTTGCTCTCAGCTGGACTTTGGCCATGCCAAGACTGGCTCTGCCTGGGCCAGGGAACTCCGGCCGGGCACGAGTGGGGCACAGCATGTAGGGCATTGCTGGGAAAACTCTACCTTCATCCCAAGCACTGCCCACGCAGCCACCAGGGCTGGCTGGGTGGTTTGCAGGCACCTAGGCGAGGAGAAAATGCAGCCACCAGCAACTGATCCCAGGGCCAGCTGTGCCTCCCAGCTGCATCCTATTACAGCTCAGCTGATGGTATTTGCACTAATTAAAGCCCCAACTCCTGGAGCCCTGAGCATTTTAAAAACCAAGGTGTTACGTGCACTGAGAAAAAGCTTGAACGTTTATCTAGTAGAAGATAAACCCCAGAAAGTGAAAGGTGAGGGAAATAAGCCTTTTATTTATTTCAACTATTTATTATATTGAAATAGAATTCCAATGCTGTGATGTTTAGCACAGTTTAATGGTTTTGATGGCCTAATTCGAGTACTGGGGGTGGCTGTGCTCTCCCTGCCAGAACAGGCTGCCCACCCTGTGGGGGCTCAGCCCCACTGGGGCAGTCTGGTGGGACACAGGGGATGCTGCCACCCTGCACTTGGCATTTATTTCTCACGACAGGAAGAAGAAAAATTTCCAGTTGTTTCTTATAAGCTTCCAAATGTCTCTTTCAGGACTCTTGAACTGGAGTTTTCTCATTCCTCTGATCCAGCAATGACAGCATTTTGAAATCGTGCAATGCTTCAGACATGTTGGAAAGGAAGGACACCATTGGGTTTGCTGGGGTGAGCTATTTTTGTTTTACTCCAAGATAAATTAAGTAAGGGGATTGCAAAAATGAGGAAAAAGAAAAATTGTAGGTGGATCCAAAATAAAGAGGAGGAATTTATTCTTTTATTAGCTATTACAAGAGGCAGCCAGGCCTTCCTCCAAGCTTACAGAAGCACCAGCAGCACCAGGGCGTTTTGGAGCCAGCAGCCTCCCCTGTCAACTTCTAATTTCAATTAAATGCAATAGTCATTTTCCTGGAAACGAGCATGTTTCTCAAGCCAAAGAGGCTGGAGGTGAAGCCTGAAACAAAACTGTCCCAAACATGTTTCAAAGCACTTAATTACAGCTCTCAAAGGCTGTTTAATAGACTTTATGAGGTACTCTGTAAAGAAATGGGATGCAAAATTGTTTTATAATGTCTCTCAAATTTTGTTATTGTTACTGACAAAAGCTCTGTAAATTTTCTAAAATGGGCCCAGAGAGCATTAAAACACATTTTATGGCCAGAGGACTGGTATATCATCCCATCTGACTCATTGGCCAATACAGATCTCTAATGACCTTTGCCTTGAGTGCTGTAATGTGTGTTTGACTATTTGCTCATCTCCCAGAATGGCAGACGGGGTTTGAGGACAACAGGAGATAGAGAAGCTACCACCATCTGTGGTAGGTTTTGGTTGTTTTTTTTTTTTTAAGAAAAACAAAACCCAAAGCAAAACCATTAATATAAGGTGTCTAGGTTTAATTTCCAGAGTACAGAGAAGATCTGAACTGTCCTTAAAGAGCTGGTACAAGTAGTCACAGAAAGAGTGAAAAATAAAGCCTCTAATGTTCTTGCTGCCTTCCACCCTGCTACCAATGCAAGTGATGGATATGAAAAATGAGGTTAAGAAGTGGGTGTAAAAATTCCAAGTCTGGCTCACAGATATCTCAAAAGTTTCTTGGTGTCAATGCAAAGTGCCCAAAGGACAGATTTTTTTATATTTTTTTTTTAAATAAAGTGGCCATTAAAAAGGTCAAGAAGTAATTTGAAGTCTCTTATTTTAAAAGATATGCAAAAGGTATGAGATAAAAATAAAAAGAAATTAGTCTTGTCTAGGAAGCACACAGAATTCAACCCTGAAAGAGCTGAAAAATTGTCAGGAAGGTCCAGCTTCCCAGTGCAGTGAGCGGATTTCAACTGATTTGACTGCAGCTTTGCCTTTTGCATCAGATACATACGGCTTCAATAATATCTAATGCCTGTCGAAACATCCCCCAGCACCCCGAGAAAGTGTAAGCGTTGCTTGCAATCCTGTACTGAACATGCCCTGTGCTATTCTGCTCCTACAGTCAAGTGGTTCCAGAAACAAAGCCAGACAAAGGTTGGGGAAATTTAATAGATTTTATTAGACCGACTGGTATCCATTGGAAAGAATGTTTTTTGAGCACTTTGGTTCTGAAAAGGCAGGAAGGTGTTGGTTTACCCAGAAGCCTCTCTGTTTATTTTTAGCTATATCAATCTGAGATTGTGCCATTAAAGATAGTGTTGACATACCAGGACATGCAAACAGCTGCATGACCTCTTTGCTGTAACCTTTGAGTTCCCTAACGCTGCTCTCTGCAGGGGTGACACATGCTGAGCAGCATCCCGTGAGGTCTCCTTGTGCTTTACCAGCATTGAATGTATCCTCACATTGGCAGGTTCCCCTTACACTTCATGCAGGGACAGTGCAGGGAATCCTTGCCTACTGCGGTGAACTGTGGGACTGGACGCATCGAGTCCATCCAGTGAAAATTATTTCACATTAGAAGGGACAGAAATGTTGCAACGGCTATAGAGGGTTGGTTCAAGGTTCAAAGCAAGGACACCTACAAAGCATTTTCCAGCTGCAGCTCTCAAAGTGCCACAGTGAAACAGGTCCCCCAGTTCTCCCATTTTACAGGATGCAAAACCGAGGCCTGGAGCTATGCGGTGGTTTGGGCATAGACCCAGCCTCCATCTGACTGGTCTGATGCTCAGGGCAGCCAATTTCAAGGGAAAAGCACAGATCTCTAGGGAAACAACCTCTTTAGCCACGGTATATAGAAGTTGGCTGTGCCCTGAAGCAAGTGAGCTTAGAGCACTTCAAAAGCTCCGGTTCATCCTTAGCCTGGGCTACAATGAATCCTTTATCACATATGCTCAGTTACAGCACTAGGGGATATTCCTTCTGAATGGTCTTGCCTTGCCATGGCAGTGACTTGCATAGACTTATGCTGTGTTGGCCAAAAAAGTATTTATTTTGAGAGTCCAGAAAGCAAGTACAGGTCCAGGGCATCTTTTTCCAGCACCCACTGAGCAGGTGGCTGAGGGCTGGGAGAGGGAAAGGAACAGAAATGCTGAGAGGTGGGGTATCTAGTGATGGAAATCAAAGGAAAGTGAAGAGGTGGTGTGCCATTAAAGGACAAGCATGTTCAGCTTGGAGAAAAAGGACTGTGAGGGTGGGTGGGAAATTACATATAGCACTCCATGAAGGTGTAATTAGGATGAGCAGGACTGAGTGAGTCAAAGCACAGTGCTGGCTGGCTGGCAGGACGTGAGATAACCCTGGAGGTGAGAGGGACCATAGTGAGCTCCCGGGTCTAGCAACATAGCCTGACTGCTCGCCAGCCACACCTCGCTCCTGTCCCCACACCCCTCGAAGGAAAACCAGGCTCCCATGTGGAGTGGCAGCCACAGCACCCCCCATCACAGCCCTTTGGGGACCAGGAGCCCAAGCCACGTGCTACTGTTTGTCTCGGACACGGTCACAATCCTTCAGAGAGCCTTGCTCGAGCCACCGCAGACAAGCTCAGGGTCACAGGGAGT